GCCATGTGCGAATATAATTTTCCAACGACGAAAAAGAGGGAGATCTTGGAACAAAAAAATTTTGAATATTTATCTGCTGCTATCGTAACACAACCGGAAGATCATTAACCACCATATATAGTCTGTTAAAAAAAAATTTCTTAAAAAAACAAAAAATAAAAAAAATATGCATATAAAAAAAAATATATAAAAATACAAAAGGTTATTATTTATTTTAAAAAAACTATCTTTAATTTGAACAAGATTTAATACTTTTTATAATTGTTGGTATATTCACTTCACATCACTTGTGAGCAATTAAATTATTTAATTTCTATTGAAACAAATAATATTCAAAAAATGTTTAAAAATTATTTTTCAAGAAAATATTTTTTAAAATTTTATATTTAAAAGGTTTTTTTTAATTAATGAAATATTGGTTTTTATTGTTGATTCCTTTTTTTAAACTATATTTTTTTGATATAATTGCTTTACTTAGTCAATAAATAATTTTTAAAAAAATTTTTTTAATTGTTTTTTAAAATATCTATTTTGTTTTTGAAAAAAAATAAAAATAAAAAATATAATATTAGAAAATTTTTTTAAAAAAAAATTTTAGAAATCTTCAGTTTTAAAGTAAATATAATATATAATCTTTGAATATTATTCTAATTTAAAAAATGTTATAAATTTATATTTGATTTTTTTAAAAATAATTACTAATATATCAAAAAATTTTTTAAATAGAAATCTTTATTTAAAAATCTTTAAAACTTTTATAATTTTTTATAATAGGAATTTTTTAAAAAATTTTTATTATATAAAACTTCAAAAATATTGTATTTTAAAAGTTTTTGAAATAATAATAACTTAATTAAAATATAAAATTGTTTAATAAATATTTATTGTTTTTCTTTTTTTTTTTTTTTTATAATTAAACAAGTATATATAAAGTTTATTTAATCTTATTATAAAATATATATAAGTTGAATTACTTTTATATACAAATTCTAGATTTTATATTTAAATATCTATTTTTGATAAAATTATCTCTAGATATAATTTTGAAATAAATAAAATTGCTTATTTTTGCTTATTTATATAAAAGTAAGTATCAAAATTATTGCTTGCAGTTTATCACTACAGTTTGTCTTAACAAACTCTTGATTATACTATATAAATAGAATAATTTTAAATAATAAACTTATATAATAAAATTTTATAAATAAAAAATAATGAACAAGGTTTTACTAGTTGAAAAAAAATATATTATTATTATTAATTCACAATTGAAAATATCACCTATATTACATTTTCAATAAAATGAATTTATTATTTTTTTATATAATTAAAATTAAGTAATAAAATATATATATATATAATAAAGTATAGCATTTAATACTTGTTCAAAAAAATATAAATATATAGATATATACTTATAATAATCTATATAATTGTACATATATTCTGTATCCAATAAAATAATTTAACTTAAATCAATGAAACAAAATATTTTTAAATTGATTTAATAAAAAAATATAAAACTCATATATAAAAATTATTTATTCACAAAATTATTAAACTCCATCACTTGTCAAATTGAATTTATTATTTTGTTAAGAACATTTTGTAAGAATGGTTTTGCCTTGATAATTTGTTTTTTTTTTTTTGCCAAATTATGTGATTGCCCTTTTAACTCTCAACATCAACACCGTGATTGTTGGGCACATCCAGAGCGCTCGCTCAATCATTTTATTTTTTTTCACCTTGTAAAGTGACAACAATTCTTCTTCCAGATGCATATGATCGATGCTCACATAAGTAAACACTGGAATTTATAGTTATTTATCATTATTCATAATTCCGCAAATTGTTTTTTATCAGTTTTCAAGAAAGAGTATACTCACCCCTGCCAAGTTCCCATATTCAATTTCCCGTTGGTGATGGGTATGTTCAATGATGCGCCAATTAAAGCATTCTTCAAATGGGCGGGCTAGTATTAAGTGAAGGAGCAGAAATTTTAGGATAATAGTACTTGTATTATCCTTCTTTATTATTAAATATACCTTCCATAATATTCCAACGAATTCATATAAAGCATTCTGTCGAAAGTCGTTCTATTCCGATCGACTAATATCTTCACGAGGATGGGTTTTAACACTCACCATGTCATCAGAACCTTCGGCAGTGTGAATGTAAGGCCAATTTTCGGGAACCAACTTATTTAACCCCATCTCCATATCTGTTCTTACATCTGGGTCCGCATTTTCATTTAGGCAAAGTGAGGCGGAAGTATGCTGTACTAAAATTCATTTCATTAATGAATTCGTCTCAAAATATTCATTTTTTAAAGCGTCCAAGAAAAAGAGACGCACAAAATAAGTTCGCCATTCCAATCTTATAATTTTTTATTTCAGGAACTTGTCTCAATATCTCGCTTGTCACTAGGTGACATCCTCTTGCTTTTGAATTTAGTGTAATACTCGTTTGGTACCAAGACATCCTTTCAACACATATTGTTTGGTTTGCTGGTTCAACATAAATTTACAGATCATGACGTAAATGACGTAATAAAACACGTTGACAATAGAAGTTCGACAAAGTTAGACACCTACGCTCACCTTTCCCGTAATGTCTTCAAACAACCCAGGTTCTTCTTCTAACACTAAACAAGCCGACAATAATACTGAAGAAAGTCAACTATCTCAAGAGGAAAATGCTCAACAGCAAAAAGTATCCATACCACATCTCGGGGCTTTAGAAGAAGATGACGAATTCGAAGAATTCGCAGCTGAAGGTAAATGTCAACAAACAGAAGTTTACTCGTATTTTTGTATAATTCTATATTCTTTCTTGGTACCAATGAGTATATGTTTAATATTATAGATTGGAATGAAACAGAAGAAGATCAAGAAACTCATTTATGGGAAGACAATTGGGATGACGAAGATGTTGAAGATGACTTTTCAAAACAATTGAGGTATATTAATCAGGCTTTATATCTGGCGTTACATGCGCGCGTTATGTTTCTACAATGAAATTAGTAATTAACAAATTCTTATTGAAATGTTAGAGCCGAAATCACTAAAACTACAGCACCGCAACCTATGAGATTGTGATCACCCTGTTCTTTGAAAAAGTTCCTCTAGTTATTAATAATAAAATTTAACGAATACTTCACCAAAAGTAGAATCGAGCTGTTAGAACATATGGAAAGGGAAATAACTTTGTAGGCGGTACATTCACCAAAAAGTGAAACAGTACTTTAAATTTCACGAAAAAATAAAGGAATATTCTCGTATTAATTATTTTATTTCGTTCATTATTGTATATATTGTACTATATATTTCTATTAAATTATATGAATCCCAAACCCATGATTTTTTTTCATAACATTTGTTCGAAAATTTTTCCAAACATTAATCTTTCTTTGCGGGATCTGGAATTCCAATAATCAGATACATGTAATTTATGAGTAGTCCGGATACGGCAAACCTGCGAATAAAATATAATTAAAATAAGAGATTTTTATAATAATAAAACAAAAATCCATCGAACGAAAAAGAAAAATAATTACAAGATGCTGGTAAAGGATGATGTTTTGTTACTATTTGCATCCAAGTCTGTTACTTTTTCATTTGTTATAGAAATAATGGAAAAAGCTAATGCTACCCAACAAGCCCATTTTATCTTCAATAGAAATTTAGTGAGTTTTAAAAAAAAAATTATTTCATCGTTTTGACATTAAATTACCTTTATTATGAGGCCAACTGTACCTATAAGAAAAATGTTTTCAAGTTATTATGGTTTTCATCAAACCATTTGAAAAGTCGAGTAACTTCCAGCATGACTTACTAAACAAGAGCGACACAACTCCGAAGAAATCTAAGTCAACTTCGTCCACATCTTTCCTTGGAAGATGATATGGAACAATGTTATTAGGACGCTTGGGATCCGAAGTTAATGAATTTTTCGACATTTTCAAAGCGTAAGAAGCAAAGTGCGAGCATGTGTATGTACGTGCATTGATTAATATGTACTACAAATAAAATTGATACATTGCGCACATAATTATTGATTTTAATACAACAACGCGTTTATAAATTCAATAAAACTTTAATGTAAAGTATGTTATGAAGAATGTAATAAATAAATAAATTTTTTAATTTATTATTAATTTTATTAAAATTTTAAAAAAAGTTATAAATCAATACAAGCTTTTTTGTAAAATAAAATTTAAAAATTATATATATATATATATATTTATTTTTTTAAGATAAACATGTATTGATACATATTTTTATTTTATATTTTAAAAAAATTGGTCTAAATTTATTAATTTAAATTATTATCTATTAAATTATAATAAATATATATTTTTTTGAAATATATTTTTTTATATACAGTAATAAATAATATTTTTAAATTGTAATATAAAAAATTTTTTTTTATTAATTTCAAAATAATTTCAATGTTTTTTATAATTGAATTATAAATATTAATATTTAAAATCTAAAAAATAAAATTATTATATTTTTAAATTAATAATTAAATATTATTATTTTTTTTTATTTTTTAAATTAGATTGAAATTATTTATTTATTAAATTATAAAATCATTACAAGAATAAAACATATATAAAATATAAATTTTTTTAATCCAGCTTATTTATTAACAATTAAAATCTTTAAATATAATTTATAAAAATAATATATTATTTTCTAATAAATAAAATTTAAATTTAAAACTTTTAATAAAATCAAAATTTATAAATTACTTTTATAACTATAACTATAATTCAAATTATATTATTTAGGGCTTCTAATGATATCATTTTGATATTAATTAATACTTAAATTTACTATAAATTTATATAAGTGGATTATAATCTATATATTAAATTTATTATAAATTGGTACTATTTTAATACTACTGTATTTTAATATCAGTTTAATATTTTTTAGAGCCTTAATATTATTATTTTCTTGCAAAAACTATAAAAAAAAAACATTATAAAAAAATTATAAAAAAGAAAAAATAGAACAAATATATATATATAAATTCAAATATTTTATAATTATTTATATATTTGTTTTTTATTAATTTATTTTATTAATCTTTAATTATGATTTTAAAAAATATTTAATAAATACTTTCTTGTTTTTGTTTAATATAATTTATATATTATTCTTAATATTATATAATAAAATAAATATAAAAAAAAAATATATATATATATATATAATAAAATAAATATTTTTATAAATAATATTTAATATAATAACTTAAAAATTGATTATTAATCAATAAAAGCCTATATTTAAAGATAGGTTTCTAAATTAAAGGTGAAAATATAATTTAAATATTCCTTACTATTAAAAAAGTTTTTTTTAAAATATAAGATCAAAAAAAAACTACTTACAAAGGTTTTTTACAATTTAGATCATTTAATCCAAATGTTTTTTTTTTTTTTTTTTTTTTTTTTTTATGGGCTAAGTGCAATACATGCGCGGCTTTTATTAATCATTTATAGATTACATAGTCATTACATGAACAGTCTATTTAACTGACGCTACCCGCCCATTTTCTACCCGAGTACCAACTTTACACCGCGTGGGTGGGTCCATACTTTAATCCAAATGTTTTTTGAATTATATCCCTATTAAAATAATGAATAAATAATTATATCCCTTCAAAAGAAATATAATTGATCTGTGAAATTTTATATGTTAAATAATTTAGAAATCCATCTTTATCTATTGTATATCTAATACTATTCTACTAAATAAAAAAATAAAAAAAATAAATGTTTTTTTATTATTATCTTAAAATTGTTTAATTTTTTTTTACTTTAAAAATTTAAAAATATTTAAAATTTCTATAGTAATAAATCTTTATAATAACAGAAATATAAAATTTTTAAAGCAATAAGCTTTTTTTATAAATTTTTTGAATGGTTTTGAATATTAATAAAATAATAAAAATTAAATATCTTGTTTAATTGCAAGTAATAATAACAAATTTATCTAATAAATTAAATTTTAAGATTTTTAAAAGATTTTTTAATTGAAATTTATTTATTTATTTATTTATTTATTTATTTTTATTTTTTTCTATTGGAATTTTTTTTAAATACAATAATGATATTATTGACATATAAGTTTCAAATCTTAAAAAAATTCTTTTTTACTTTTCTTTTTTATATTTAAAAATTTTTTTTAAAAAAATTTTTGAGTTATTTATTTTTTTTACTCTTCTTTTTTACTTTCTTTTCTTCTTTTTTTTATACTCTTTGTTTCTTTTTTTTCTTTTTTTTTTATACTTTTTTATATATATCTTTTTACTTGTTTTTTTTTTTGCCAAAGTTAAATTTTTCCTTTCTTCTAAAGTTTTTTTTTTAAAAATATTGTTTTTTATTTCATCATTTCTTTAACTAGTTAACTTTTTTTTTTTAAGAATTATATTAAGAAGCAATAATTTTTTTCAAGAAATAAACTTTGACAAGTTTTTCTTTTTCATGATTTTTTTTAAAAAAAAAAGAATAATTTATATCTTTAAAAGATTGATATGACTATTATTATCAAATCTAATATTGTTTATTTGTTGATAATATATTAAATATATTTAAAAAACTATTATCAGTCAGGGAATATGTCACGATGATCGATTTTATATAGTAACATTACACAAAAATTATATACTTGCTTTTCGTTCGTTACAAGTAAAACTGTAAAACTTACTAGAAACTTGATCTTTATATCTTAATAAAATTCAATTTTCTTACTTTATTTTACTTACTTATAACTTCGCTTTTTTTATTTTTATTTTATTTATTTTTAGATATTACAGATCAAAAAAGAGCGTAATTTTTAACTTTATTGCCTGCATCCTTTTCATGAAAGTAAGTTATACTAGATTTTATTAAATTATAAGCTAGTTTAAACAACAAGCCATATGGTTATTTAGAGGTATAAAGTA